GTTTTTCAGCTTCAAATGGAAATCCTCAAGATTGTAATTCTTTGCACTATATAGACCCTTCAGGTCGTTTGAACTCTTACCAGCAGGTTAGGTTGAACTAGCTCTTCCTCGTTTGACTGCGATGTCTTTCAACATAGAAATGTCTCTAATTACAATTTGACAGGCTATAATGGAAGTTGGAGAGGTCATTCAATTTTATGATTCTGATCAACGTTTTCCTGCTTGGGGTTTTGGAGCAAGGATTTATGATGGTACCGTGTCACATTGTTTTAATTTGAACGGCTCAAATGGCTTTGAGGTAAATGAGGAAAGTTTGTAAAAATTTTAAGTTGCTTAGTTTATCACTTTCAACTGTGAACAGTTTTTTGAATTTTTGCTTGTCTGTAGAGAGTATTTGATGCAAGACAGGAGAGAGGGAAGATTAGACGGGAGAAATAAATAAAAAGGATGGGAAAGTAGAAGAGAATGGGAGAAAAACTAGAAGAGAAGGAAAATAAGATAGGTTAGGAACTGGAAGAATTACAATAGAGAAGATGGGGAAAATATTAGAAGGAAATCTTTCACTAATTAGAAACTGCAATTATATTTTTTTTATTGCATTGGCTTGGCTTGTATGCATTCTGATTGCTGATTATTACACACAGGCATATGATGTTTTTTCGTAACAATTTCCCTCAACAGGTTGAAGGAATTCAAGGTATTATGAATGCTTATGCTACAGCTTTGCACAACCTAACTCTGTCAGGACCAACTTTATTTGGCCAAGTAATCAACACAGCTGCAGAAATTGCTGGGCAGTCTATCTCACAAGGGAACACCAAGTATTTCGTCTTGCTTATTATAACGGTAAAAAGTAACTGTGACTTGTCTGCCTCAGTATCGAAATTCTTCATGAAACTTACAACAATTCCTTCACCTTTTATAGGATGGAGTCCTCACTGATCTTCAAGAAACAATAAATTCATTGGTGAGGGCATCTGATCTTCCTCTATCAATTCTTGTTGTCGGAGTTGGAGGTGCAGATTTTAAACAAATGGAGGTATGCCCTTGTTTTCCTGATTCAAATCTGAAATGTTTGCTTCATTTGCAGTAGAATTTATGTTTTATTAGAGATGGTGGAAACTTAACTATTTTACTAATATATATTGAGTAGAAGTGAACACATTCTAAGTCATTATCTTCCCACAGATCCTTGATGCTGATAATGGACGCCGATTGGAGAGTTCCACTGGCCGGATAGCTACAAGAGACATTGTACAGTTTGTTCCAATGCGTGAAGTGCATAGTAAGTCAATCGCCCATTTCTGAAAGTTTTACCTTTACAATGCTATTCTTGGCAGGAATCTGTTTGTGTCTTTGCTCTAAAGACTCTTGGAAAACCATTGCTTCTAATCTGTCTCTAGTTTGAGCATATGACTAATGCAATCATTGTTCTCTTGACAGGTGGGCGGATTTCTGTTGTTCAATCTCTCCTGGAAGAGCTGCCTGGACAGTTTTTGAGCTACATGCGATGCAGAGATATTAAACCTCACGGTGTCTTGGCTTGACGAACGGCACTCTGTTGTGTGTTCAAGACATACCAGGATTGTCTCTGTGATAACGTCAACTACCAAAAAATGCTAGATTGGAAACGGTGGATCATATTATCAATGCAAGAATCATGGGAATGTGGAGAATTTTATGGGTATTTTAAGTGATTAAAAATTTATTTTTTTTTTTGACAAAGACAATAGTTAGTAAGTTAGGTTAGTTGATTATTAGAAATTGAAGATTTGATCTCAAACGAGAGTGAATGCCTTTATCACCTTTTTATTGAGGAGCGCGATCTAACCAGAGGAGCGCGGTCTAACCAGTGGACCGCATAGTGGAATTCAATTTTATGTTATATACATATTATATATATATTTTTTGAACAAGTTGTTAAGAGCTGACTCGAAACCCGTCGATGGGGAAAAGGAATGCACCTCAAACTGATAGGATGTCAGTTGATCCGAAGGGTCAGGTGCATATATATTACATATTTGAATCCAAGAAATTAAAAAAAAAATTTATGTGAAATGAAGGATTATTTTTTATTTTATAACTCGGGCCATATGATGTGAAAAAGGAAAAATAAAAAAGCAGCCTTCAGTTTTTCCTTCCATGATCGTAATCCTGTTGCGGACTTGACTCAAATTTCATGGTCGATTACTCGTTGAACTAATTATTGTGTTTTTCCTATGGTAAACTACATCCATTTTTTTACTAGACAATACAAATTCTTTTTATTAAAAATTTAATCTGCTAAATTATATGTATTATAATTTATAAAGATTTAATTATTTAATTTTTCTCCTCAAAATAAAATATCTTTACTTGGATAGAATTGACCTTTTACTTTGAGAATTTTTTATTGACTTGTTTTTAAATAAATAAAGTCTTCATTTAATCCTTAAATAAGATCATATCTCTTTAATAAAAGAAAGAGTGATCAAAGCTATTTAATGACATATTTTTACTATATTCATTTTATATTCTCTTTGCGTCTTTTAATATTTTATTTGTTAGATCTTCACATTCTTTAATTTTCAATTTATTTTTAGTTAATAGAGGAATCTTTGGAGAACTTAATTTAAAAAAATTAATTTTT